CAGACCCCTGAACAACCTCATCAGAGTCCCTACCCCTCCTCCCACCCCTAATCTCCTCTCCTTTGGGTGTCAAGGTAAGTTCAGCTTGGAAATTCCACCGTGCACCCTACCCCCTCGTGCAGGGATATCAGAGGCTCCCTGTAGAGGCCCTGCCGCACAACTCCCAGGTCCTCTGAGGCCAACCAGGAAAAACCAAGGCAAAAAACTCAGGGCTCTGTCTTCTCTGGGACTCAGGAAAGGAAGGAAAATCTGTTGCCCTTCACTGATTGGGGGACATCCCTTTGGTTGTCAGGGTCTGCCAATTTTAGCTCTCCCAATTGTTTTGAATGGTCCCAATTGTTTTGAATTGTTTTGGGGCAACACTCTGCCTTGCCTTCCCATAATGGGATGGGGCTCCTCTGTGGGCCTGCAGATATTATACCATTCACTCCTCATAAGACCTTGGGAAGAGGAGCCACTGTTATCCCCAGTTTACAGTTGGGGATATCAAGACACAGTTGGGATATCCCCAGTTGGGATATCCCCAGGTGGATACATGTACTAAGTGGGGAGCAGAATATGAACCTGGGGCCATCAGACTCCACAGACTGAGTACCATGTTGGGGGCTGGATAGGTGGGGAAAGTCATGTTGGGGAGATCCTTTATTTTGGGCTGGTTTCTAGATATAGGAGTGACTGGTGTGCTGTTGGAGGATCCTCAGGCCCTGGGGACAGACTAGCTGGGACAGCTGGGAAGAGGAGGAGACTGTTTCCCCCTTCCCTGTCTTGGCTCCGTCATCCTTAGGTTCCTTCTGGCAAATATGTGTCTGTGTGGAGCCTTTTTCCACTGCCATGCTGTACTCAGAAATGCATATTGAGCATCTGTGATAACAAAGTGGAAGGGAGGGAAAAAGTCCTGGGTGGAACTAGTAGAAATGGCCACCTCCCCTCTCAGAGGGGAGCAATTTTGCCACCACAGTGCTGTTTCAGTGGCTCAGTTCTAACAGTAATGGCGTAAGGTATGGCAGGTGGCTGGCTGTGTTGTCCAGGGTTCCCCAGAGTATGTCGCACCTTCTCACACAAGCCCCCTTCCTTCCTTATCCCTCTTCAGGCCCTCTCATCTGGGGACATTTATTCAGCGACCTTTGAGAACCCCCCTGCCAAGGACGCAGCGGTGTACCCCTCATGGCATCTGTGCACTCCCTCAGGCAGTCCCTGGTTCATCCCCACCCCTCAAGCCTCCCACTGGAGTCAAGGGCACTGAAAGGGCAGGTGAAGTGAGGGGTGCTGCCCAGCTCTGTGCCCGCATCAGCTCACATTGAAATGATAGCCACCCACTATCCTGTATTAGGATAAGGAGAGGGTGTAAGACAGTATGTCTGTGCAGATTTAGACATTGAAGACAATAAATACCAATCGCTTGTATCAGTCAGAGTCTAGCTGGAAAAAGATGGCACACTCAAGTGTGTGATCTGAGGAGTGTTTAAAAAGAGGACCATTTAGAAAGGGCAGGTATAAGGAAGCTGCAAGTGAGAGTTAGTAATCTAGGATGAGCATCAGTAGGGAACAAATACCACTGCTGGGCCTGAAGGGGGAAGGGGAGGAAGCAGTTCATGGAACCTGGAGAGAGGCAGGGTTCCTGAGAGAGTTTGGTCAAGAGATGCAGAGAGCCCACAGTGACCTTGACACCTCAGGGAGGAAGCTGGGGGAATAAATACTTCAACCTCACCCTTCTCCTTCCCTTCATCCTCCCTCTGGGGCTCCCCACTGACCAAACATGACCAGAAGCCAGAGAACAAGGGAGTTTATTGATGCCATCCAGGACAGAGGAGGCATAAAGGGGTGGAGAGTAGGTCTGGAAGGTCCAATGGAAGACACCTGACACGTCCCTTAAGTTTACCTGGCATTTAGAGTTTACAGGAAGCTTCCATACAGTGATAGTTCTCACAACAACCCTGTGAGATAGGTAGGGCAATGATATGATCCCATTTCATAGAGGAGGACACTGGGGCTCAGAGGAGTGAAACAACTTGCCCAAGGTCATAGGACTTAGCTTGAAATGTCAAGACCACGGACCTCCTTTGAGAGTCCTCCTATGGGCGAAATGGCTCTGCTGGGCTTCCAGATGCTAAAGAAAGCCCCCAACCCAGAGTCTTAGGGATCACTAGGGGCTCAGGCAAGGTGAGTGCGGGCCTCAGAAGACATCTGTGCGGAGTGGGAGAGGCTGATCCATGCCACTGATGAGGAGCTGGGGCTCTTCGTGTAGCGTGGAGGAGCCAGGCACCACCGAGGTCCCCATAGTACCCAAAGCAACCTCCTCCTTTTCCTCCTGCTTGAGGCGCCTGAGAATCTCCTGTGACAGGGAGAAGCCGCTTTCCTCTGCAGGTTCTGGAATGGGGGTGGGGGAGGCAGGGAGGGAGTTTGGGGAGGACCTCACACATTCCCATTCTAACTCACCCAGAGGACTTGCTGGGCAGATCCTCCAACTCTCCCTCCTCCTGACCTCTCTGGGCCCCCTCCCCATCCCAGCCGCTGAAGTTAGAGTTTCATGGAATCCTGGAGCTAGAAGTGGTTTTAGAGATAGTGAAATTCCGCTGTGTCACTTTTACACATAATGCTCAGAAAGGGACCCAAGGTCATCTAGTGAGGGAGTGGCAGGGCTGAGGCTGCAGCCCTGGTCTCTTAGTTCCTGGCCTGCGAATCTTCTGCTCCTCTGGCATCCCTAGATGAAATGAGGGGCCCCTAGAGCCCACCTCTTCATGCTCCACTCAGGACCATAGCCAAAGACCTCAGAGCAATCAAGTGTCCCAAGGTGGGGAAGTGGGGCCTCTCTCAGGAGAGGAAAGGGCAAGGCTTGAATACGCTGACCACTTGGGAAGGCCCAGGGCACGGTGCTGCCATATCTCCTTCTGTCCTGCTGAGAGACCCCTGGGACCCCTGCCCCTGATTCCTCCTGCCCCCCAAACTATCAACCCCTTACCCAGGTAGACAATGAGGTGACAGTTGTTCTGAGACTCAGGGGCATCTGCCAGGATGTCCTCGAGCGTCCTACAGAAGAGTTTGGCCTGCTCAAGCCGATCCTCCCGACTAAAGCCAGCTCGGCTATCCTGTGACATGGCAAACAGGGTCTGCAAGGGGGTGGCGTATTCCAGGACACAGGTGGCCACCTGGAGGAGGTGAGAGGAAGGAAGACCAGACTAAACCAGGGGCCAGGCAGACAGACTCTGGCCCCCTGTGCCAATGTGGGGTCCCAGTCCCTCAATCTGTAGAGATGGAGTGCTAGGAGGTGCCACCCTGGTGGGGTCTGTGCTGTCTGGTTGGCCTTCGCCTCTGACACCCTACTTCTAAAAATGGCCAGGGCCGCACTGAATTTACCCTTCACAGAATTTACCCTCCTCCTAAAATCCCAGGGCAAGGCCCACCAAGCTAGGCTGTTAACTGCTCCAGCTGGAAACTGAGTCTGGGGTCTGGGCTTTGGGGTTCAACCCTGATCTGATTCCCCCCACCACCCATGTGAAATCCTTCAGGTGTTCTCACAGCCTTCATCTAAGGCAGATTTATGGTTAAGAGCATGGTATACTCAGGTTGAAATCATCCACTTTCTCCCTGCTCAGTTTCTCTGAGTCTCAGTTTCTTCATCTGTCAAGTAGCGGTCATGACAGTCCCTACCCCACAGGGTGGTGATGAGGATTCATTGATATGGTCAGATGAAACAGCAAGAATAGCGTCTGGCATGCGTAAGTGCTCAATACATGTTACTTATCATTGTCCTCATTTAGTACTGAATCTTGCCCATCCCTGGGACCTATCGGGGAAACTGAGGCTCAGAGAAGAGCAGAAAATTTTTATCAGTGCTTAGCCAGAGTCTGAAGTCCTGGGGCTCTAGGCCTGACTCTCCCCAGCAGGACCCACCTCCCTGCACACTCACCGGCTTTCCGTTCTCCAGAATCTCATAGATGCTGTTTTTGTAAACCCGGCCCTTGATGCCAGCACGGTCAGCGCTTTGCTGGGGTAGCTCATACAGGAAGCGAATGTTGGGGTCGGCTACACTCAGGTCGTCAGGCACCCCACAGTCCAAGGGGAAGAGGATGTACAGCCGATGGCTCCGCATTGTGTTGTTGTGGAACTGATTGAAAGCGCGGATCCGAGCCGGGAGCCCTGGGGTGGAGAGGCCCAAGAAGTCATCCCCTCTAACCTTGTCTCCCACCTGGGTCATTGGTCCCCTCAATGTGTAGCTACAAGAAACCCGAGTGTTCAGTCCCCTCTCATTGTCTAGAAGGTCAGGAGGGGCAGAACATTCAGGAACACTCCCCATCCCTCCATCTACTCTCACCACCTTTTTCTCCCCTCACTTGTCCTTTGTCCAGATTTCTGTCAGCTCCACTCCTTCCCACCACAGCTTTCAGGGCTCTGAGAGGCAGGCAGAACCCTGGAAGGTGACATTCCCAGCATTCCCTGGTGCACTGAGCCAGGCCTCCAGCTGGAGCTATTTCTTAGCAGAAGCCATGGTGTCAAGGGGAGGTAGCAATGAGATATGGGAGAGCCCCAGCCTTGGCCAGTAAGTCAGAAGAATGAGACATAACACATGGGTTCACAGTGGAGTGGTCAAGGGTCCAGGCTCTGGACAGTCCTGGGTTCAAATCCTGTTTCCTGGGGCTGGCCGAGTGGCTCAGTTGGTTGAGTTGGCTTAAGAGCGCGGGCTCTGAGCAACAGGGCTGCTGGTTTGATTCCCACATAGACCAGTGACGCTGCGCCCAAGCTGAGCTGTCGCTGAGCTGCCAATAGGTGGCAGGATGGCTCAGCTGGTGTAACAACAAGATTGCCTGTTCCATTGTGGGCTATGCCCTCCTGTAACTAAGACTGAACTCAGCACCTTGAGCTGAGCTGCCCCCGGATGGCTCAGTGGCTAGAGCATGCGCTCTTAACAACAAGGCTGCTGGTTTGACTCCCGCATGGGATGGTGGCTATGCCCACCCACAACTAAGATTGAACACAGCACCTTGAGCTTAGAGGCCACGAGCCGCCTACAGGAAGCCAGATGACAACTGGAGCCTTCCACAACGAAGATTGAAGAACAACAACTTGGCCAGTCCCTTTCCCCAATTCCCCAACACTGTTCCCCTCCCCCAATTCCCCAATAAAGTCTTTAAAAAAAAAATCCTGTTTCCTCTCACTAAGGTGTACTTTGGAAAAGTCACTTTATCGCTCAGAACCACAATTTTCTTATCTCATAAGCAGGGGTGATGATTATCCCTTTCCCATAGGGTGTGAATTAAAAGAGAAAATGCACATGAAGGGCACAAGCCACGCAGTAAATATTTAATGAAAGAATTCACGGGTGACCTTGGACAAGTCACTTAATATTTCTTCCTGTCAACGAGGCATAATAGTAACATTCTTCATGCCTACAGGATTGCTTTGGGAATCAAATGATTTGTTAGACATGAAAATACATTGAAAAATACAAGCAGTGAGTTCTGCAGACAGAAGAGGCTGTATGTTTTATGGTCTGTCTTGTAGATCTAGAAATGGGGACATAGAAGATGACCCACCTGGCAGGATCAGCCTCAGGTACCCGATATAATATGACCACGCCAGCCCATGGGCCACATTGAAGTTCCCGTGTTCACAGACTGTAGAGACCTCAGCTGGGGCCAGCTCCTGTGGACAGCAGGGTGGGGCGGGGGAGCCTCCATGAAGGACCAGAGCCCTCCTCCAAGAATATTTCCCAAAATATTCTTGCAAACTGATGCTGATTTGCTCCCTTCTCTGTCATTGCTGACCCCACTGTTCCAGGACATTATGGGCTCCACTCCAAGAACCAACCTCTAAACTAGTCCCACTCCTAATACTGAGCTCAGAGCAGGTCACACTAGCCACAGCCTCCACTTGATCACACCCTCCACTTTCCTCCATCATACCTGGAAGCCCAGGAGGATGTTCAGTGCCTGGGAGACGCCCAGGAGGGCAAACACCCAGGTGAAAGGCAGACCAGCTATGTTTGGGAGGTAGATGTAGAAATAGCAGGACAGCAGCAGCAGGGCCCCATAGGTGATGGGGCAGCCCAGGCAGGCCCGAGCAGCCCTCCAGTAGCTGCCCTGGTACCTGCAGGTGACAGCCAAGCCCCAGATCCCAGCTCAGCTCAACCAGGGTGATTCAAAGAGGGGCAGGGCTGGGGGGTCAAGGGAGTGAAACACGCTGGGTGACTAATCACCCTAGGTTCTGCATGGAGTCACCTGGAGTGGACGTGGAACAGCTCCTCGGCCAGACTGCAGACCCTTTTGAACAGAAGTCCCAGCTGCACGGAGGCCTGGTGGAGCACCAGCCACTTGAGAATGTGGTCTGCTGGTTCCCCCAACACCCACAGGACTGCCAGGCAGATGCTCAGCAGGACAAAGGCTGCCTTCTTGGTCCAGCGACCCCTGGGCCGTGGGACGGATGGATGTAGGCTGGAGTGAGGCATCTGTAGGTACCACAAAATCCATAGCCATGCTCCTCTCACTCTCCTATCATTCCAGGACTGAGGCCCTAGCTGGGCACCTCCCCCCAGCTCTCCCAGTCCCCGATGCCCAGCCATACCCAGAGATACTTCTGGAGGACAGGCTGGGCATACAGCATCCCAGAGCTCCAGTGCAGGAGAGATGTGTTGAGAACAGAGCAGGTGGAAAAGTGCATGCACCCACACATACAAGTATACACCCCACCCAACCCCAGGGAAACCACAGGTGCGGTGAAGAAAGAAGATAGCGATTGTCGTAGACCCAGACCTGAAAGTGTCCTATGAGGTACCACTCACCTAGGGACCCTTGGGGGCTGGGCTTCCTTCTCCCCAAAATCCACCCCAGCAAGGGCCTTAGTCAGCAAAGCTGAAAACCACAGTTCAGGGGGTGGGGGCAGGGCAGCCAGAAGATTGTCACCAACCTCTGGGTCCCCAGGGGCCTCAGCCTCAGAGCTGTGGCTGGGCTGCTCCCGATCCTACCTTCTACTTCCTAGACCAAAGGTTGTTTCTGGAAGACAACAGGGAGAGAAGGGCCGGTACAATGGATCCTGGTGACCAAAGGCAGCCTCCCTGGGAGCAGCCTGAAAATGAAGAGTTAAAAACAATCGAAGCTTTCTCCACAGCACTCCAGCCCTGGCACTTCATCAGACCACAGCTTAGAGAGAGCTGCAGAGGTGGGTATTTCCTGATTCCTCTGAGGGAAGAAGAACCCTCCCCACAAGGCGCTGATAAGTCAAGGCCCTGATGAGTCATGCCCCAGTCGCGGGGCATGAGGTGGGGGAAGCTTATGACGGCCCCCATTCCATTGCCATTTGCTCCATAAAGCCTAAGGCCAAGGGTGTTCAGAAACTTTCTCACACGCCCCTGAACTCCACAACCCGAACACCAGCTTCCCTTCAAGCCCCCACAATTAAACAGTCTTACCAATACCCACATGTGCCTCCACACACCCAGCCTAAGGCAGCACACACTACACCATGCTGCCCTGCCTGATTATTTTTATTCTGATTTCTAGCTACAGATCCTCTTTTTCTGAAGACTGTGATGTCAGGAGGAGGGTGGAGAAATGAACTGTTATTTCCTGTAGCCGCCTTTAGAGTAAAAAGCTTGATAGGAGCAGGAAGCCCACAGGGGAATGCAGTGGTGGGACTCTCCACCGGAAGCGACCATAACTGATTTCTCAGAGAGAATCTGGTGGTTCCAGCCAAAAAGGCAGTCTCATGGTAATAATAATAACAATTTTTAAAAAGGGCGTGCCGTGCTTCAGACATTATGCTAAGTGTTACGTATATTATTTTACTTAACCCACTCAGTTACCCTGTCAGATAGGTATAATACTATCCCCACTTTACACATGGGCAACCTGAGACTCAGTAAGGTGAACTAGCTTGCCCCAGGTCCCACAGCTAGTAAATGAGGGAGGGGAAACTTGAAGTCAAGTGGCTTGCTCCAAAGCACAGCTTGCTCTGTGCCTTGATTTCACCGGAAACAGTGGAAGGTGCCAGGACCCAGTTTCATGCTTACTGTTTCTCCTGGAATGGTAAGTGCCTCTGGCCACTCCCTGGCAACCTGAGAAGTTGATTCGATTTGACAATGGGGAAGGCATGGAGAGTGGGATTGGAGTGGCACCCACAGAGCAGCAGCAGTTCATTCCTGCCCAGGTCAGAGGGTCCTTTGCCTTGACCCTTCCCCACATCACAACCAGACACAAGAAGACACACCGCATTCATAGATGCCAGTGGCCCCCCAGCGGCAGCAAGGCTTCCTGAAAACTCTTGGTTTTGAAAATCATTTCCTAAGAATGGAAGGGATGCTCTACATTTTTTTCTCCACTATGATTGGCTCCTGAAAAGGCCCACTGAAGTGGGCAAGGTCTCAGCTCCTTCAAAACCCAAGAAAGTCAGGGTTGCACAAGAGAAGGCCGGAGCACAGTCCTGGAGTGAGCAGCTCCACACCTGCTCCAAGGACCAGCTGTGTCAAGCAGCCTCAGGCCTCCAGGATCCTGCCTGGCTGTCTAGCACCAGCTCCCCTGGGTGGTACCGTGGCTGCCAGCTCTGCTGCTCCATACTGGTTGTCATTTCCTCTGAAACTTGTTCTTCATCCCTGCTCCCTTCTCCAGGAGGAAGATCCTCTATTTTATAGACCAAGTTGGCAATAAGCATTAGAAGTCTTAAAAAACACACATAATCATGGGCCTAGCAATCCACTTCTAGGAATCATTCTTAAAGAAATAATCGCCCTACGTGCATCTTAGTGGAGTGGACTCTCGTGGTCTCCTCTGCAAATGGGCTCTGTGACCTGGTCCCTGCCACCTGTGATCTCGCACCGAGGCCTGCGAGGGGTTGCCTCCGAGGTTTCCACCAGCCCACAAGCAAAAGCATGGCAGCCATCCCTTCCAGCAGCTGACTTGTGGCCATTCACGACTACTACTTGGGCTCCACTTCCAGAAACAGCTTCTGTGCAAGTGCCGAGTACCCCAGCGAAGCCACCCCCCACTACCCAGGTCTCCCCAAGGATGACCCTGGTCACTGGGGCAAACTTTTTCAGGAAGTCCACTCTCCTGTTCATGGCCATGGTGTTGGAGTCCCCAGAGCACTCAAAAGCTCCTCGAAGCCTTAAGTGGCATGATCACCTGTGACCTGGCTTGGAAAGCAATGCAGAAGCAGCCTGGAGGCAAGCCTGGCAAAGCCAGCACCATCCTGAGTGGACACTCCCAGCTTCCTCATAGACTAGGCAGGCTGCAGCAAGGAGAAGCAGTTGGGTTCTTTTATATCAAAACAGCAAAACATCAAAAAGGAAACTGAAAGAGCCTCCCTCTTTACTATCCAAGCCACCCTCAAGGCCTTTTGTGTGCTTTACACCTAGTAAAAAATAAATACCAAGTGGCCAGCAAAAAAGAAAGAATCCAACAAGGACACAAAGATGCCCATTTTCCAGACGTGTGTAGCAGTGTTGTTTACACCAGTGAAACACTAAAAAATATCTAAATGTCCAACAATTAACTGTTTAATTAAATAAATTGTGGTTTACCTTACAGTAGAATGTTAGGCAGCCACTAAAAATGATGATGTAATTTTGTATTATTGACTCTTAAATATGCTTATTATATGTTTCCTACTGGAGAAAAGCAGTGCGCAAAACAGTATAACTGCATTTAAAAAATATGCATTGTTGGGGCCGGCCGAGTTGCGCATTGGTTAAGAACTGGCTTGGGACGCCAGAGGGCCC